GCGCCCTGAGGCGGGTTCGCTCCGGCCCCTGCGGCTGCCTCGCGTGCGCAGGGCAGGCTGCATCCCCCGGGGCCTCCGTGCGCCGGGACTCGGTCTTAATTGTTTTGCTTCTCTCCCTTTTCCGTCCCGCCAGGGGCAGAGTCGCTCTCATCACAGGGGGCGGCTCCGGGATTGGGTTCCGGACTGCAGAAATCTTCATGAGGTATGTCCGAGGTGCCAGCAAGGAGCTGCCTGGGCAGACTCCGTCCTGCCTTCCCGGCCCGCTCCCCTGTCACGTCCCTCGCTTGTTGTGTAGAGAGGGCCGACCAGTGCAATGCGCGCAGATCTTCCCAGCCCTGCCTATAGCACCACATCTCAGACTTGCCCTTTGAAGGGGTCTAGACAACTCCTGTTATCTGGAGTGTCCATTGCAGCCAGATCCCATCCTGTACCAGCCTCAGTAGGAAGCTGGCCCAGCGGGAGGTGAACTTGTGCCTCCTGATCTGCAGCGCTCCAGCTCCAGACATGTGGAACTAAGCTGCTGAGTCCCAGCTGGCATCATGAGTCCAGATCCAAGAAAAAATCTCTTCTTCCATGATTGCCAGGTTATTTTGGGGGGTCAGGCAGTTAATGCTGGTTTAGCTGCATTGCCAGTATGATCCTGTCCTTAAAGCAAAATCACCTGGTGACATCTGCACCAAGTCCTTTGCACACTCAATCAGAGGGTGCTACCTGGGTGCACATGAATGTGTGCAGAACACTGTGATACAGAGACCTGCCCTCATAACATGACGTTAATTGTCCTGTCAGTTTGACTCACTGCACATGGGTACTTCTGTGCACCAAGCATATTGTTGTTGCTAAATTCAGCCCCTGTGAATATGCCACTGCTACCTATTGTGTGCTTTGCCTTCCAGAGCAGGTCCTCCGTAATCCAAGTGCTTTCTGCAAAAGTTGTACAGTCTTTTGGCAGCCTACGTTGTAAGATCTCCCTTGGATTGAAGGGGCCTGTATGTTCCTAGGCTTGAAGGCTGAGCTTGGGCACTGCAGTTTCCCTCCTGGGCTGATAGTACTGCTGGCTATGGTTATTATCAATTGCATGTTTTTTGGCCTTCATAGTGAAGATAGGGGATCCATAGTGAATCTGAAAGTGATTTTGTCCAAGTGCCAGTTTTTAAGGCCAGAAGAGCCCTTCTGATCAGTTTGTCTAATTTTCATTGTGTGGGAAATGGGACCATTAACTCAGTGATTCCTGGGTAAGCCCATCATACCTGAGGTACAATAACTTGTTGAAGGAATGAGTTTTCCCTTTATTCATGATGAAAAGGGAAAGCTGTGGTTATCCTAATACCCCCTGTTATTAGACACCGTAAAGAGAAGCAAGTTGAAGGGGTTTTCCTTTCCTGAGGAGCTATCCTAATATGTTGCTGGGAGTTGCTCACCTTCCTGTTAGATGAGGTAGTGGGGGCAGGTGACTGGTATGTAAAGCTGGGACTTTTTGTCTTGTTGGGTGATTTAAAAAAAGTCCCTTCATGTGTCTGTCCCACAGTTAACCATTTTATAGATGGTCCCTATTGATACTTCCTGGAGGATAGGGTGTAGAGCAGGAGACATTAAGCAGTCCCTGTGGAGTTTCTGAGCTGGGCACAATCTGTAAAAAGCATTCAGTGCTGTTATCCTCACTGAGCTCTTGTTCTAGGCATGGCTGCCAAACGATCATTGCCAGCAGAAACCTGGAGAAAGTCACTGAGGTAAGCAGATGGGGCCAGCAGGACTGGGGTACCCTACAGAACGGCTCAGAGATCCTACAAGATTGGCAAGAGCACTGGTATTTATTCAAAGGAATTGCAGGAAGATGAAGCAGTTGTAAATGATTGCAAGGCATACATGCATTTAAAAACCTCTTTGGGCCTATTTATGGCATGCATAGCTTATGCTGTCTTTCTTCTCCTTATTCCT